GATTCCCATTCACTTCCATTATAAGACTGACAGACTGCAACGGTTTGAGTTAAAAAATCTTCGTTTGTGTTCTACTGAAGAAACAAAGTCACCTACATCTTGGATGCCCTGGGGGTAAGCAGATAAACATCAAATGTTCATTTTTTGGTGACCTATCCCTTTAATCTACATCTAGTCACTTTGAAAAGTAAAACAGCACCACTCCCACTCCTCAATGAACCACAATTTATGATGCCGGGTTACGGGTGAGTTATGGGTCAAAGTTGTAAAAAAAAACTATCTCCAAATATGAGCAATAGTAAAAAAGTGATGCTTATGATGTTGGATTTGGGAATTAATCTTTTGTTTTGCAAAAAAAAAAAAAGTTGTCACCCATGAATCAGACTAAACTGGTGATTGAGGTTGACTCATTGACTTAATAATCAGTTCACAAAACCAGTCTAAAGGAATCATTCATGAATCAGACTGATCTGTTTCTTGTTTCTTACACACTGACTCAGTGATCTGGTCACAGTGAAAAAAAACCCTAATCCTAATGCTCTCCTTAGCCAACACCACTAATTAAAGAAATGAACAAACTAGAAGTTTGACATAAAAATACGATGTATTCATTATTTTCAACAGTAAAAATGCACTACATTTAAAATTACAAAACTGCAAAACAGGAAAAAAAGGCTCAGAAAAACAAACGTAATTTTCCAATTACATATCTAACATACAAAACTTTACCCAACCACACCCTTCTGAAAACATTAGCACTGCACATGCTGCATTCAGACCCCTCTGTGCTGCGCTCTCAGAGAGATGTGGACATCTCTGATTTGGACAGGAAGACAAAAGCCCTGGAACCTTCTGCTGTCCTCTCATCTCTAGCAGGGCTCGTTGATCGACAGCGCTGCCAGGTTGGCTGCCCCGCTTTGGGATATCTGTAGGAGTTTGGCACATGAAGCCTCGTGGTCTAGTGTGTTCTCAGGGGCTTGGCATAAACGGGCTCCAGGAAATGTAAGGGCAGCAACATGAACAAGGCTGCCAAGAACACCACGATCACCAAGGACAGAAGCACGTAGCGGCCGATGAAGAACATATCCACTATCTGAAAAAAAAAACATCACAGGCTTACGGCGTGAATTATTTAACATATTATACAGTTACTGGAAAGTAATTAAAGCCATGAGTGCTTTGATGTTTCCATTAATATTTTTAATTAACATGAAATCCATTCAGCATGTTATGCTTTTCTCCACTAGAGGTCAGCAGGGTTCTTTTAAGAACTTCAAGAAATGCAAACCTCACTAGACCAGATAGACTAGACCTAATGAAGTGTGTGAGTGTATGTGTGTGTGTATATGTATATATATATATATATATATGCACCAAACGTTTTGTTATTAACGCCTTTCATTCAGCAAGGACATAATAATGTGAAGACATTTATAATGTTATAAAATATTTATATTTCAAATAAAAAATAATCAGAAAATTAGAATCATTTCAGAAGCATCATGTCACACTGAAGACTGAAGTAATGGCTTTACCATCACAGGAATTAGTGTCATGTTTAAATATATTAAAATAGATACAGTGTGTGTGTGAATTTATGTATGTATATATTCATATTCATATAATTTGTATTATATATCAATATATTTAATATATTATAACATTTTTCTTAAATATATACATGCATGTGTGTGTAGTTGTATATACATAATAAATATACACAGTAGTACACACACATATATTATGTACACAAATACTTTTATTTTGGATGTGATTAATCGTTGCCCAGCAACAATATATATATATATATATATATATATATATAATATACAAATACACTACAAATATAAAATATTTAAGTAATGTAAACTAGATAGTTTATATTTAATATATATGATATGATTTTGTTTTAATTTATATCGCAGGATTTACCTTTATTTTATCATACGTCAGAAAAACACACACTTCTTTCTTGCCATTATTTCTTATTCTGTCTGTTTTTCTTCCATGAATTAAAGCTGAACAGGGTGATAGTGTTGAATACTAACAGCACCCTACGTCCCTACAGACCTCAACTAGAGTATGAGGCCTAAACCATGGGAGAGGCCACAGCCTACATTAAACTTCAGACAGAGAGATGTCTTTGTGTGTGTCTGTGCATGTGTATGTGGGAGGGGGCTCTGTCTCAGGCGAATGCAGTGTTCTCTCGTTTAACGCATCTCACTTTCTAATTTGCCAATTAGCCGGCTAGCAAAGCACAGAGCAGAGGCCATGTTTTATTAATGTGGCATCGAATGCACGGCAGTGAGCTCCTGTTTGGGGCCAGCCTAATTGGCACTGTGATATTATTCCTTTGTACAACAGCGAGGGGTTACCCATTTCTCATACAATACACCGTCACCTATCAAGAAAAAAAAAACTGTTATCTAGTCATACCCGCTGCAAGCAAATCAGCAATGGGTGTAACATGGATTTGGCACTATGCACAAATGAGAGTCTATTGCACAATGTATGGTACTACATGCATGCTTATAGTAATGAGAGACTTGCATGCGGTTTTGTTTTTGCAATTTATCTTTCTGTTGTTCCACTATCAGATCTTATATTCATTCCTAAATTGTTTAAAGCGAACTTTCGTGCACTAACCTACATGGTATCAATTTCTAAAAGGTGTTTTAACATCAAAAACTTGCACGTCAAAAAACTTGAGTTGTAAATCTGAGAACATCTGTTGCAAGATATTAAAAGAACTACACTAGTCAACATTTGAAGTGGATCAAAACCTTTTATCAAAGTTGTCCTAAAACCTAAAACCAAAATGTGTTCTTGTCTTAGGACAACTTTGATTAACCTTTTTTGATCCACTTCAAATGTTGACTACTGTACACTGCAATCTGTGAGATCTCAAGTCCGTATCAAACCAAATGTAACAGTGGGTAATCTAATAATTTTAGGTCGAAGGCAGGGGAACATTTGATTCAGTCAACATGTTTCTGTTGTGTTATTGAAGACTGAAAGGTAAATGGTTTGGGTTTTGTTTGTGCAGACAAGAGGGTGAGTTGGCAGCTCAGAGCGCTGGTTTTGGCAAAGACAGACTTTGGGAAAAAGCTGTTGTGTTTGTGCTCTCTGCTGTTGAGGAGAGATAAACCAGCACATGTCTTTGTCAAATATAACTCACACACAGAGCTGTACAGTGGACCTAACTCTCTTTTCAAGCATGAATATCAGAATTGAATAAAGCAAAACAATACTAATCAAATCACTTGTACATTAGCTTTTCATATGTTTGTCTGTCTGTAAATTTGGCAAGGATAGGACAATTCCTTTATATTTATAATAAAGCACATTATGCAAATATTACTGCACTCACCTGAACTGCTTTCTCAGGGGAAGGAACTTCAGGGGCGCGCGGGAAGAACACTAAAACCAGTGTGACGGTGAGCGCCAGAAGAAATAAAGGAATGATTCCTAACCTGGTGAGGCGATAACATCGTGATTATTCATGATACAATAGAGCTACTACAGACAGAGCATGTGTCGAAAACCTGAAAGTATGTTCTTACTTTGCTGGGCCAGTTGCGCGCGACAGAACGATAGTGAGCGCGAGAGTCACTATCCAGATTAAAGCGATGATAAACACACCTGTCCCAACCCCTAACACCACATCGGCCATCCTCGCCTCTCACACTGCCTGTAGCTGGACGAGAGAATTTCTTGTTTAGGAAGCGTGATGATGGATGCATGCGCTAGACCCACAGTAAGTATATCAAGCTGGTGTTATGAACGCAAACCATGTGGCGCGTGTATCTTCGTCTGGCTGCTATTCCTAGACATTTACTGTTTGTTTTTTTTTTTAACTCAATTCAACTGGCATAATTAGGAAGTAAACAATGGGAAGCGTGCAGTTCATCAAAAATGAATGCTTAAGCCAGCAAACTAATCCCTTGTAGACCTTTAACGGCTACTCTAAACACTAAACAGTTTGTATATTTACCTCATAAAACAACCGAATGCTGGAACCAACTGCGTAGTTCTAAAAAAAAAATACAGATTTGCGACAAGAAGATACACGCTGCAGAAAGTATAAAATATTTCCATGGAAACACCATCTCGTCTGTTTACCTCCACACTTCCTGTGTCGCGAATAGACCAATCAGGTTGCAGTATCTAGCGAACAGTGTGCTGGGAGTTGTAGTTTATGTGAACAGCATACGTAGTGCGTATAAATCATTTACGTTATATCTATCTATCCATCTATCTATCTGTCTGTCGGTCTGTCTGGTGTGCAAATGCAGGCCTACATCCATTATTACTATCTTAATTTGAATATATTTTTTTCTAGTGCTGTCAAATAATTAATAGCGATTAATCGCATAAAATAAAAGTTTATTTTATATTTAATTTATGTATATATAATTATAAATACACACATACAGCATATATTAAAAAAAATATTTACATGTACTTACATGTATATATTTATATTCATATAATTTATATCATATTTAAATATATTTAATAAATAAATGTAACATATTTTTCTTAAATATATACATGAATGTGTGTGTATTTATATATACATAATAAATATACACAATACACACACATAGCCTATTATGTAAAGAAAAACTTTTATTTTGGATGCAATTAATCGTTTGACAGTACTAATTTTTTCATATAATATTTTGGTTATATTTTATTTGGCTACAGTACAATGACAGTATAAAAGACAATTAATGTTAATAACCTGTTGTTTTAGTTTTAGTAATATTGTGTGAGCCTTATACAGGAAAATGCTCAAGTCGTTTTAAATTTATATTGGGGTCCTAAAAAAAAAAAAAAAACCCTAGCATATTTGATCTAGATTAGTCTTTCTCAGTCGTGACTCTGCTTGTAGCCCATGGGTTAAGTTTCTATATAACTAACTAAACATACATTTGGGATTTGACCAAGTGGCAAATTTTCTCGTTTCTTGTGGCACAAATAAATAGGTTTCCTCTGCTTTCCGACCAGGCGAACAGCCAAGGCGACCTGCAGCCGAATGTAGGTCTCGTTTAATGCCGATAGGGGGCCAGCGCCCGGCACCGCCGCTAATGAACCGGAGATGCGCGTGCAGGGCCCGGGGTGTTCGGTACGGCACGGAATAACGCCAGTGGAAGAGGAACCGCGGAGGTGTACACTCGGCAGCGATGGGTACGGGGAGAGAGAGAGAGAGGAGGGGGGAGATGGTGGGAGGGGTCTGATATGGCAGACGTCACGGCTTGTGTAGGGGAGTATAGGCTGTGTTGTCAGCCTGGTGTCAGTCTGATGAAGATTGGCATTCAGGTAAGCTGTCATTCATTTTCAATGTCAGAGCGCGGAGCGGGCGAACACTCCAGCGTGTTTTTTTCCCCTCTCGCTCTCATTACAAAAGGCAGGCCATTATTCATACAGACTGGCCGAGGGCTGAGGGGAGAGAATGATAGACAGAGAGGGAGAGAGAAAGTGAGGGAAAGAGAGAGAGAGAGAGAGCGCGCGGGAGGGAGGGAGGAGGAGGAAGAGAACGAGTGCGATAGAAGGAGGGAGGAAGAGAGGAAAGACGGGAGAAGATGCCGTGCAGTTTGGGGAGCGTATACGAGTCTTTCTGGATGATTTTGTTTGGTGGATGATGCGTTTGGACTTGTGAAATGTGGTGGTAATTTTGTGTCGACATTTATGTTGGGTTTTAAAGGGCATTTTATTGTTGTTGTTGTTTTTTCCCCCGTAGAGATACATGACTGATTCGTCATATTCATAACGCGCAAAATATAGGCTGCGCATCTAAATTCACATTTAGATTTTTAATTGGGATGTGTTTTGAAATCGCCAGTGTTTTGTTTCGAGTTATACTTATGTCTTGTTGGCTTTTAGTAAGTTTAAATATTTGTATTTTACTGTTCGTTTATGACTGGTCAGTTTTGAAACAAGATGTTGCTTAGTAAATGTTTATCTGGCATTCAGATCTTGTGCGAGTTTGACATGAGATTATCGCACATTATCAGAGTAGTGTTTAAGGAAATAAAAACACAGTTTGCCTGCATTATGCAAATGAATGCTTGCCTTACAATGACTTTACGCGGAGTCAACTTTTTGAGAATGTAGGAAAATTTTGGGTCGCGAATTATTTTTGTCGCCAATGACAACATTTTAAACGTATTTTTAAATTGTTTTTTGGTATGTGAAACTATAATAAACTTTTAATGAACAATAATATGTTTTACGTTTTGTTTATGAACCGTACGATACTAGCACTAATAACTGTGTTTGAGCAGCGTACTGTTGTTATGGTTACCACTTCGCGATTCTTTTCGCGACAATGGACCTTTTTCACATTTCCGGGTTTCTCAGCAGCGGAAGTCGTCATAGTTGGGTTTAACTTGAAGAGCAGTGGGAGAGTACCACAAATATATTTTTTGCATTCCCATTTGCTCAAATAGCAAAAGAAAAACTCCACGATAGTGTTTTCATGACTTTATGATGGTGTTCACCATGGTCTTCATGATAACGGCAGTCAGAAGAGAGAACGTTGTCAAATTTACCATCCCTCCCATAGATGCTGCATTAGAAACACCCTCGCATTAGCGTTAACTGTTTTTTTATAATTTGATGCAAAGGTGATTTGATGAAAAGGTCATTTGAATACAAAGAATAGTGTTATAAATGTACATACATTTAAAAAAAAAATATATATATATGAAAAACTTTCGAGGATTTAAGATGCTGCTGACCTTTAAATGCGTCATCACAGTCTTGTGAAAAGGGTCCATTTAGCCACCACTGAAACTACGTAGGCTACTCTGAATAACTTGTATTCTAACTTTTTGGTTTAAATTGTTGTTTAAAAGAACGTTTATGTACTTTTAAGGTCCCCCATCTTTTTATATTTTTCTTTCTTCTTGTGATGCTTGTGGACATCCTCCCCCAAAACTCCTAATTTCCCTTCTGGTTGCTTGTAGGTAAAGGACCATAGTAAACACATGTAAAAAGTATTAGAAATACTATTAGAAGCATGTTTGACAGTTGTACATTTTCTACAGTTCTCATAGTTCATCTATTACTTTATAAAAGGTGTCAGTTTAATGGCTCTTTGCTGGTGCTATGTCTTATTTACTCTCTGTTTTTTTATAATTTGGCTGGCAAATCAAGTGGTATTTATTACTCTCTTGTGAATTCTTAGATTTGTCCTCTGATTTGTAAAACATGAAGCTGATTGTTCCGTTTTGACTTGCAGACACAACATTACATTGTATTGTCAATGGTTATGTTCGTCATTGGATATAGACTTGTTCCTTTGTAAACATTTAGTGACTTTCACTATTGTTTGAGGCATTAAACAACCTTTTTTCCCTGTAAATTTAGATTCTCTTCATAAAATAGCCAAGCTGAGGCTGAAAACCGGAACATTATAAAGGTCTTTGTAAATTAAGAAACTGGTGACAAGACTTTCAAAATGTTGTTAAGACGTCAGGGTTGTTTGCAGTTTACACCTGTTTGCAAGCTTATAACATACAAATTAATTTGTACAAAGTTATATTTATTACACTTTCTGGAAATCCGAAATAATCCTTCAGACATGCTTTATATTAGAATAACTGCAAGTTAGCACTGTTTCATAATTGATAAATTAATTAGGCAAGATCATTTGCGATGTTGAGTTCCATTCTCTGCAAAAACGGGGTGAGAAAATTGTCTCAAATCCTTTTTCTGACTGACTTAATTTAATAGTACCTGAAGTATACATTAACACCTTTCACAGTACTATTCAGAAAAAAAGCTAGGCCTAAATGCTAAATTCTGAATGCATTTTAATAAAACACTTTCTTAACACTTTTAAATAAATAACAATCTCTACACTTAAATGTGATCAACTTGTACAACCAGTACAAGCCTCAACAAAGTGCAGATTTTGAATTTCTTTAGTGTCAAATATAGAAATATTATGACACACAAACTGGCTGTATCATCTGTTAAACATACATGAGACAACATAAGAGTGACATTGCATGTCCATTTTCCACCCAAAGTCAAATCTCATTTAATCAGCTGTTTTATTTCTGCGGTGCAAGCGATCACGGGGCTGTAATGTTTTGTCTGGAAGATAAAAGTTGCTGGATGGGGCTAATTTAAATGCCGAGATCCCTGCTGGGATCTTAATTGATGATTTGTGTCACGGGACAAGCTGCCCAGGGGCAAAACTGCAAACACAAAATACTCCGACTTTATTTGCATATTCCCCTTCTCCACATTACGAGCAAATTACAATCTGAGGTTCAATACTGCAGGACCCGGAGCTCTTTTGGTCTAATCACTAATAAAATGACTCCGTCGCCCTAAATGAGGGAAGTGAACTGAGCAAAAGGAAGATTGTAAACCAATTGTGATGCTTCTTGACTTGCGTAAAGCTATTTAGAAAATTGTCGTTTTTGATGCCAACCATAGCACTAATAATTCAAATGCCCATTTTTCTACAGGTCTCATTTGGATTTTCAGATCTTACACGTTGTTTGTCTGTTGACAGTTAATGAGATACACTTGTATCTGTGCAAAATAAAAAATGCAGGCTCAAATGAGAATTATTCATCAGCCTGTAGTCTGCTGGGGTCTGGTGTGTTCAAGGTGAAGCAATATGAGGCTACATTGTTCTTCGCTCTTCTTAGATGCACAGAGACAGAGCTGTGTTGTTACAGGCTTCCACCGCTAAGCCTTTGCTGATCCTGATGGCTCTCGGAGGAACGTGGGCCTGTTATTGCTGTTAGACGGCTGTGCATCCAAATGACCTCGCTGTGCTGCTCTTCTACCGCTAGGCACAGCAGTCAAACTCCTCTCCTGGGATCTGGAGGTAGGGGAAGATTTGCTTGATTTACATGTGTGCAGGCACTTAACGGTCACCCGTAGCCTGGTGCTCACATCACAGGCCGTGCTGTTTTCATGTCACCCTGGCCTTGGAGAGAGATGTGGCATGATATGTTGGAACTGACGTTGATTTGATTTACGAGAAAACACAGACTTGAAAATGCCAGTCTCCAAAAAAGAAGCGATGATCTGATGTTTACAAATGTGATGAAGTCGTCCTTTGGTGTGCATGTCAGCACTTGTCACACACTTAAATAGATGTCGCCAAATGACAAATGACTTGATGAAAATCTGCCCTTGACTATCCTTATACTCATGTCTATATATCTGCAACATTTAAAATGGCTTGAACAACATTTTAGATAAAAAATATTAATAAAAACAATTAATAAAAATCAGGAATATTTAGCATTAAAACTGTTGCATGTAACTTGTTTGTACTAGTTTGTACTACACACATGAGTGGTACAGTACTTGAAATTGTATGACTTATTGAGGAGAAGTGAGCTAGATGTTATTTTAGTATCACTGAGATATTGTTATAGTTTGTATTACAAATTTGAATCAGTTTTTATTTTTTATATTTTACATTTTAGTAAAGTTTTAGTAATTAGTTAAACATATTAAAAAATATATGTTTTAATATGTTTTCATAATTGTTTATTTTAGTTTTAGTTATTTTAGTACATCACGTTAATTAAAATGAGTAATGTTGAAATAAGCTGAAATAAAAAAAAAGTTGTTTATATTTTATTTCAGTTAATGTTTATTTTATTTTAAGTAAAGATTTTTTTTTTATGGTTTTAGTTTTACTCAACTATAATGACCCTGCCTGGCAGTTCATCAAACAGGGTCTATGTGGGTCCTTAAAAAGTCATAAAAACTCTTAAATATCCTAAATGGTATAAGAAAAGTAATAATTATCATTTTAAGAGATCTTAAATTGTGAAGAAAAAAAAAAACAAGAATCGCGTATTAATTTGTATTATTTGGTCTGTAATGTTGTTTAAATCATTGTTTTTACAGTCGTTAACAGTAATTTTATTTGTGCACATCTCAAAAATGTCTTAAAGGGGTCATATGATGCGATTTCAATTTTTCCTTTCTCTTTGGAGTGTTACAAGCTCTTGGTGCATAAAGAAGGTCTGTAAAGTTGCAAACACTAAAGTCTCAAAACCAAAGAGAGATTCTTTATAAAAGTTTAGAGTTAACCACGCCTTCAGTTTGATTTTAATTCCTGGAAAAAATCTGCTAGATTTCCATTGCAGGAGGGACCCAATCCAATTCTATAAACCAGAATATCATATTGTGATTTGTGGGTGGGATCTTTTGAATTTGACCAATGAGTATTGAGCAACACCTTAGCAACTGCACACCAATACCCTGATAGCCACCCATATATTGCAGTGACTTTTGAACTGGCAGAACAACGTTGCTTTAGAAAAAAACATAGG